GAGAACCGCTCTATTTCACCCATCACCCCAACACCTCATGCCAGGCCCACCACCTACAAATGCATGCGAGTTTAAAAACTAATGAATGGGCCAAAGTTTGGGCTAAATTTCCCAAAAAGGGAAATTTAGAAGTATCTTGAGATAATGAAATTGGAAACATAATATATCTAAACCTATGGAACATAGCAAAAGAAGTTCTAAAAAAGCATTTTTTTAGCAATGTATTAGTTAGGGTAAACCAGATAAACAAAATCAATACAAAATATAGAAGGGATTTGTTAGGTAGGTTTACAGGTTTAGAAGGGGAAGAGTCCAAATATCTGTCTGTGGAATCGGAGGCAGAAAAATCCCAAATGGCTGTCTGCATAGTAAAGAGCAGAGAATACAGTAGTGGGTCAGGACCAAGGTCTCAAGCAGGAAGATTGCTGCAGAGTCACCAGAATGAGTGGGTCAGAAAGCCAAAAAGTCTGTGTTAGAAACCTAAAGACTCTGAACTAGAAGCCTAAAGGAACTGGAGAAGAACATGCACAGGTGAAGACCAGAGCTCCTCCAAAGAAAGGGGAATACTTCCGGTCCTCTTTGTTCTGTCCGTGCTACTAGCCCGTTGGTTGGTGCCACCCTCATCTGGAGTGGTTCTTCCCTCCTTGGTTCACAGCCTAAATGTCAACCATCCACAGACACACTCGGAGCTTTCCTAATCTGTTAGCCGGGTCCTCCTCAAGTTATATTAGCATATTACGGTTAATGATCATAAGCAATAACAGCTACAAGAAAGAAGAAAGACCTCAAGCAAACCATACTGTATACCTCAAGGAAGTTTCAAGAAAGAAAACTAAGCTGAAAGTTGGTGAAAGGAAACAATAATAAAGACCAGGGCAGAAATAAATGAGATAGAGACCAGAAAAACAGTAGAAAAGAGAAACAAAATGACAGCTAGATTTTTAAAAAATTTATTTTATTAAAATTCCAAATATTGATTGATGAGAAAGATAAAACATAAGGCAGTGCCAGACCTCTGACTCCAAAGGTAAGGCTTCCTCTCACTGCGTACATCAGATCTCTCCTCAGCAGCAGCTGTTGTTGAGTTTTTATATCAACTTGTCATGTTTTTGTGTGTGCACATACAAACATATCAGAATGGTTTTCAAACATTTTCTACTTTTTATTGGCATATATTAATTGTACAAATTAATAGGTTTCAAAGTGATGTTTTCATAGATGCATATAAAGTACTTTGATCATACTGACACTCCATTACCCTCCCTTACCTCCCTTCCTCTCTCCGTGGTCCCCTTCCAAAGAGTTTGGGTTTTTATTGCTGTTGTTGTTGTTGTCTTTTTTGTGAGAGGATAAGCCAAATCAACAAACTTAGGTGGACTAAGAAAAAAAAGATTCAAATGAATAAAAGCAAAAAATGAAAAAGTAATTAAAACTGAGCCACAGAAATAGTACAAAAAAAAAATATGAAACTGCTATGAACAAAATGCCTAGAAGAAATGGGTAAAGCCTAAGAACATACAGCCTACCAACACAGAATCAGGAAGAAACAGAAAACCTGAGCAGACCTACGAGCAAGGAGACTTTCAGTAATAAATTCTTCCATCAAAGAAATGCACAGGACCTTATGGCTTCTCTGCTGTATTCTGATCTAAGGCAGGAAATAACCAAGGAAAAGGCTAGAGAAAGAAGGGAGGGTCCGTCTACCCCGGAGTCCACTTTCTAGGCTAGGCCTGAGACACAAGTGGACTGAGGACGTGGCTGGGGGAGAGAGGGTGCATGTTGGAGCATGCTTTCTGGGAGTAGATCCACCTTCTGAGTTAAGCATTAGCCCAGGACCAGGATGCCCAGGTCTAAACACAGTGGCAAAATGTAGCGAAGTTACTTAGCTCATACACAATAATTCCCTGGGCATGTGCTCGTGGTCTTCTGCAGCCCTTGGCTGACCCCAACCCTAATCACTATGTCACTGATGATGAAAATTTGATCCCCCTGAGGACATTAGATGCCATGACAGTGCCCCTAAGGGTCATAATAGGTTAAAAACTCCACCACCTCACAGAGCAGTTGAGTCAAGCTGCTCATTGGCCCCAGTTATATCTCAGACAAAACCCTCAATTCCATCCCAAACCCAAAGGCTTAAAACTTTCAACACCAAGACCTCTCAGTGCCATGAATTCTCACTGGCCCACTCCCACTCTGGGAGGGAATCTCATCTTTTCTCTTTAAAATAAATCATTGATCCTGCTTAGTACTCTTGAGTGTCCTGCTCAGTTCTTTGTTTGCGACATCAAGAACCTGGACAAGACCCCCAATGTGGTAACAGGACTAACACCGATTTCAGATTCATACAAAAAATTGAAGAAGAGTGAATACTTCCAAATTTATTTTGCCAGGGCAACACTACTATCCTGATACCAAAGGCAGGCAAGGACACTGCAAGAAAAGAATGAGTCAATATCCCTGATGACCACAGATCAAAAGTCCTCCCAACAAATTAGCAACCCGAATTCGACATATGGTTGCGTCATTTGTGACAGTGCAGCTGGGGTCTGGTCATAGGCTCGTGGTTGCCATGCAACGCTCTCTCTGTTGCTGGGCTGGAGCACTGAACCACAGTGCTTGGCTAGCCTCTGGATGAGTAGGGAAACAACTAATTCTCTACAGTGTACTGTGTTCCAAAGTTGTGATACTTTGAAGGTTAGCAGTGCATTAGGTAAAAAAAAAAAAAAATAGTTCCTATACCTTTAGCTAGTTTAAGTTTTTCAGTGTTATTCTTTAATGCAGTCCAAGAAACAAAAATGACTACAAGAATAAAAATTATTATAATACCAAAACAATAATAGAGATAGTTCTAGTGACAGTTAAAATTAATTATAAATGAATGAATAAATAATGCTGTAAAGTAGGTTTAGATATGTAAGAAGTTAAGCAATAATCTTGTTTGATTTTGCCTTTTATGTAAGGTGTTTGCTTGAAAGCATCAGCCATACTAATTTCATAATTGCATTTGTGATGAAATTTAACCTGGTCAGAATCAAACTTAAAATGCTCGAGTGAAAGTCACATCAAAAATAAATTTAATAAATTGAGCATTAAATAAATTACTCATTTTTGAGTGCAGCACCCATGTTGCCAGCTCCTCTGTGTTTGGAGCTAACAATATTTAAGGTTTATTTATGATAAGATGGCTTTCTGCATGCTGAGACATTCTCTGTCTGATCACCCTGAAGAAGTCATACTTGGAAAGTCAAAGTTACAGGTGGAGAAGGCTGACATCACCTCCAATGTGCCCTGAGCTCCTGGGGGCTTGGGCCAGTGACAAGATTCCAGGGACACAATGTGAGAATTGCCCAGAGGGGTTCAGGATAGCAAGCATGTGGGGAGACCTATCTGAGGTGTAGTGGGTTGACCCAGGCTAACTATCCAGAAGAGTGAGAGCTGCACTGGCCTCTGAAGGACAAGGTGTTGGCCTTGGTGCAGTAAGTTGGTCCAGGGAGACTTCCATGTGGTGAGGGGCCATGACAGTGGGCTGTGCAGAGTAACAAGAGAGGAGGACAGAGAGGCCACTGGGCCAGACTGTCACAAGGCCCAGACGTCATGATGTAAAAAGGGACCTGTCCTTTAGGAAGCCATGGATCCACTGAGGGAGAGGCTTGACTGAGCAGGTGGGCAGCTCAGAAGCAGTGTCCTGGGCTAAGAATGGCAGTGATGGGTGTGTCACCAGTGCTTTCCCTGTCATCCCACAGGGTGAAGTGTCACATGTCTAGAAAAATGAAGTAAAAGACAGGTGAGTGGCTCTTCCAAGCTCACCATGAACGGTGGCCCAGATGGGACCAGCTGGGGGTCCTTTGGTTCCTTATTCACTGGTTTCCCTCAACAGTTTGTGGTTGACTTGACCCACTCTCCAGCCCATGCACTCTGTTTCCTGATTTCCTTAAATGTTCATTCCCTTTTTGACCAACCACATATACTTAGGTACAGCTTGCAAATATGTGGATCTCTGCCCCTCAAAACTTATGTTATACATACTATCAGTCTTTTGTGTCTGTGGATTCTGCCTCTCAGGAGTCAACCAAAGGCAGATTGAAAATTTTTCTGAAAAAGTTTTACCTGTACTGAATACACAAAGGCTTTTCCTTGTCACCATTCCCTAAACAACATGGACAACTATTTCCATAGCACTTACATTCTATTAGGTGCCACAGGTACTCTGGAGATGATTGAAAGTAGGTGGGAGGATGTGCTTAGATAATAGGTAAATACAATGACATTTTATGTAAAGAATGTGAGCATCTGTGGACTTGGGTATCTGAGGGAAGTCCTGGACCCAGTTTCCCACAGGAGCTGAAAGTGTCAGTGTGCTTCCAATAGGCTGACAAACACCTGAGATAATCAGCTTACAAAGAGAAAGGCTTGCTTCTGTCCATAGTTGGAGAGGTTTTGGTCCACAGTTTCTTGGTCCTTTGCTTTGGAGGTGGTGATGAGACAGTGCTGAGGTGACATCATGCTGATAACACATGGCATGACCACTCCCCTGTGTCAGGAGGGAGGAGGAAGCAGCTGTGGAGCCCCACTGTCTCCTTCAAGGTGCACTCCCACGACCTGCAGGCCTTTCACCAGCTGCCACCTCCCCATCTCCACCTCCCACTGACACCATCACCAAGTCTTTACCACATGGGCCTTTGGATGACTTTTAAGATCCAAACTGTAGCACCAAGGTAAATTTGTGTGGTCAGACTACACATGGAAGGTATGTAGGAGAGTGTAAGAACTGAAGTAAGCCGATTTCCAACATGCTAGAATTCATATCCCACACAGGACCTCCAGCATAATGTGTATATCGAGGCCATCTTATTTCAACACAGATGTCACATATCTCACTACTGGGGCAGGCACTACAGCCTACACACAATGCCAGACAAGTTGTCTGATGCTGTAACACAACTTACTTGTACTTTAGCTTCTTCTTCTGACCTCCAACAGAGAATTAGAAGTCAGAGTTCAGTAGAACATATTTTGCTTTAATGATAATTTTTATATAAGATGATTTTAAGATTCAAAGCAATAAGCAAGTCCATTTTTTCTTAGCTGAGCTTAAATGGGTTTTCAGTCATGGCCACTTCTATCCTTGCCTCAGTTTGACATTCATCCTGAAAGAACCGGCTTTCATCCAGGGTAATTACAGTAAAATTCTTCTTTTCCCCTCAAAGGCAAGACAGCACATTAGTCTTGAGTTATTTAAATAGTAATACCAAAATACTGAAGACTACAATAATGTATGCACAATACATATTAGAGGAAAAGTAATAGCTGGCATTAAAATATAGTATTTCATGTCCACATAAAAATATGAAAAAATCAAACATGCATTTTATAGGGTTTTAAATATATTATTCATTTCTTTATCCTTTCTTATCTTTTTGGGATTCTACACTTCAGTATAAAACTTTGTTGAGAGGCAACATACTTTTGTATTTTCTGTACACCCTGCAACACAAAAGAAGTAATTGGTCATTGTGTTGAAGTGGAATTAAAGAGTCAAGAGTTTCAGGAGGTGATTCCACTTTCCAGACAGCAACAGGCCACGATGCCTGCATTCTTCTAACCCTAGGTTAGCCACCCCGAGTCATGGGTCATGACTACTGGGCCAAGAAAGCACATGGGTGTGGATGGAGGGAGGACCATGGAGGGGAATAGGTTAGGTTGAGCTTGAATGATGCTGAGATAGGAGGAAGGCTGAAGCTGGAAAACCAGACCCACAGAGACTCAGCCTGGTTCGCAAATGCTTCCTAGAAGCTGGTAGATTGGCTTTATCCTGTGTCAGGGCCCACAAGTGGTAGAATTAGCAAAAAGGACACAGTGTCCTTAACACAATAAAAAGACACACATGTCTTAGAAGACATGCTTTTGTGAGCCTCTTATCTGCCTAGTACTAAGATCACTTTCCCTAAGCAGAGACTACAGCTCTTTTCCTTACAATTTCTAGGTGACCAAGGACTCCTAAAGTTTGGGGTTTTCCAAGACCACATGGGGCAGCTAATCTATTGGTTTTCGTCTCCGTCTTTGCAAAAACTGTCACTGAAGATTTGTGAACTGTGGTGAGTACAAGGGGTGTTTTATTTCTGCTTCAGATCCAGGATGACCTTTCCAGTCTGGTCTTTGACCTTGATCCTCCCTGAACTGTACGTGGTCTCCTGGCAGCCACTGCAATACACAGTCTTGCTGGTACCATCAGGAAATTCCCTCCTCTTGAACTGGTCCGTGTGGATTTCTTTCTGCCCATTGCTGAGCACGACGGTTTTGTCACCATTCCTGGTAGGGGAGAAACACTCTGGTAAGACAGGCTGTGCCATAGCCAGTTCTGTGAGCATGGAGTGGGTAAGGATGAGAGTGATGCCAGTGCCCCGAGAGAAGAACACAGCTGTGCACAGCAAGGACAGGAATGGCGCTGAGGGCTGAAGGACTGACAGGAGCCCTTGATGGCTGAGGACATGTGAGTTGGGCATGAGGGAGATAAGCTGAGATGGCAGCTGGGTCTGTTCACTACAACTAAGATGATGGCTTTAGGTGTGACAGAGACCACTACAAAGTGGTTCTGAGCAGGATTTAATACTAACCAAGTGGCTTTCTGTGTTTACTTGTGAGCTGTCTGAAGCTTAGGCACCTTGTCTGAGGATGGGCAGTGGACTCATAGTAAGTGAACCTCTATTAGTCACTGGTCACTGCTGAGGCCTGTATTGGCCTGTGAAGCTGTGACACCTCAAAGGACAAGATAAGGCCACAGCTGAGGACGTTTGGCTCCAACCCCAATTAGTTACAAAGAGACTGCATCTGCAGGCTCCACACTCTGACAATAAATACCAACCTAAGATAAGGTAGTTCTCCTAATTGACATAATTTACTACTTGGGAAAATTCTCCCTAGGTCCTGCTAGATTCCTGCATTTTCTTGAGTATCCTCTTCCTTTGTTTGAAAACCAACTAAATATGGGATGCCCAGAGAAATCTTTGTCTAAACCCAGAGAATATTGAAGCTATAAGAGAGCTGGACCCTCCTGGAGCCCTGAAATCATTTCAGTTTTCTCATTTACTTAAGTCTTCACCATCCATTCACTTGGGAGACTGTGGGCCTGATCAGCCTGCAATAATTAAGGGTTATTTAACCTGATAAGGTGGAAGTGAGAGGAGACATGGTTGGCAGAGTTGGCAACCCTGGCAACCCATGGCAGAGTTGCCATGAGTTGGCAACTTATGTTTGGCATGAGTGCCAGGAAAGGATAAAGAAAATGCCAGCACACAAGAGGAAATATTCTGACTGCCCACAGGGGAGCTAATGCAGCTCTAATGCAGACACTGAGCCCTCAGGCTGCAAAACTGAAGGAGTGGGAGAGACTGAGGCCAGCAAGGTGACACCACTAGGGTATTGCAGCCAGGTGGACCTGGGGTAAAAAGAAGGAGGACCTAGGCAACTTCCCAACCCACTCAGGCAGGTAGACAGAGAGTGCAGACCTCAGGTCTTCTGCTCACACCAGCATCAAAACCAAATCCTACCATCATCTCTGGTGCATCTTATATATTAGTTTACGTGGGTTCTACAATAGATTTGGGCTCCCAGATCACACGTTGAAGGCTGAGATCACCCTTATGGTGCAATTCTAGCCCAGCCAACCTTGATGAGTTCAAGGTGTGTGTCACTTAACAACAGGAACACATTCTGAGAAATGTGTTGTTAGGTGATTTTGCCACCAGCTAAGATGCCTATGATGACGTTAGACAATGTGCTCTCCTGGAACCACCATCCTGTATGTGCTCTGCTGCCAACTGAAACGTTATTATGTGGCACACGATTGTCCCTAAATGTTTAAACCTATATTCTGCATAAAGAGATTCAAATAATTCACAAGACAAACATTCATGTCAGTGGTATTATTTTCTGCTATTATTTTTAAATAAATACTTAAACACAAAAATCTAAATTAATACAAAGGAATTATCAAATATGCAAATCAGAAGTCAAGGATGATGTGGACTCATGTTGTGTGATGCAATACCGACCTTTTCACACGTACGATTGTTCCATCAGGAAACATGGTCTCCTCACACTCAGGCTTGAGCCTGGTCACTGTCCCATCTGGAAACACAGTTTCCTTGGAGCCATCAGGATAGAATTTTTCTGTAGAATACATTTTTTAAAAATGTGTCTTACACTGAAGGTGTTTTAGAAACCACATCATATCTCAATGATCTACCTATCTGAGATATATGAAAGAATATTTCTTAATTATGTGAGTCTATACATTTGAATGGCCACATATACTATGAAATTCCTAGGTCAACTTGACTTTTAGATGAATTAATAATACTTTAGCATAAGTGCAGACAGTTTCCCATTTACAATGACTTAAGTTATGGTTTTTTCAACTTTATGATTATAGAAAAGTGATATGCATCCAGTAGAAACCGTTATGCCTTATATCTAGGTGTCTCCTCAAAGACTCATGTGGTCATAGGTGGGGTTTTTTAGAGGTTCTTGGTTCCAGGGTGTGTGACGCTGGGTTTAAATTGTACAACGCTGAGATTAAAGGTACCTGATTAGGCCATTGATTGGTTAAGCATAGCTCCGAGTGTGGATAATAAGAAGGTCCACCCAGGGTGTGAGTGACACTACCCAAAATGTGAATAGCCTGGAAGGGATAAAAAGAGGAGGCTTCTGCCTCTCGCCATAGTGCTACTTCTTCTGCTTCTTGCTGCTTTGCTGTCTCCTGCCTGCTTACCATGAACTGTTTCTCCTCTGTGATGCCCCTCTGCCGTGCTAACCTGCCTTGAAGCCAGACAACTATGAAATGAAACCTCCACAAACTATGAGCTATAATAAACCTTTCCTCCTTTAATGCTGGGTGTTATGACATTTTGTCTCAGCAGCAAGAAAAGTAACTAAGACAGAAACTATGCAAATTTTGAGTTTCAGTCTTTTTCCATGCTGGTGATATGCAGCACCACCTTCTCCCAGTGGCTGCAGCCCCCAGGCACCAGGCCATCACCAGGGAGAACATCCCATACCCTACAGTGTGCTGTAACATAGCTATGTTTGGTATCTTAAGTGTATTACATGTATTTTCAGCTTACAAAATTTTCAGCTGACAGTGGATTTACTGGGATAGAATGCCATCAAATGCCAGAAAGCATTTATCTGCCCCAAATACTTTATGGAATATATTTATATCATAAAATTATTTGTTGTTTACTTGATATTCAAGTGTAAATGAGAGTCTGAATCATTATTTGCTGAATCAAGCAACCCAAGTTCAAGGACTTAAATATTATATGAAAGTAATTGGAAAAAATCACCTGTATAAACAACAGGGGTATACTTGCTTCATTTCACTGTTCTAGATAGGACTTAAATAACATGCACAGATATCTTTGCCCTTCCATAAATTTATCTTTCTAAACTGTTCAAATATATTTTATGGGAGATTCACTCTACTATGGCCTGAATGTTTATGTCTCCCCAAAGTTTATGTGTTGAGGCTCACCCCGAAAGAAATGGTGTTAAGAGATGGTGCCTTTGGGAAGTAATTGGATCTTGAGGGAGGCACCTTCCCAAAAAGAATTAGTGGTCTTATTCAAGAGAGGTCCCTGTCCTGCCATGAAGGAAAACACCACCAATATATCCACACCAGACTCCAAGCCTGCTAGAGTCTTGGTCATGGACTCCCAGCCCTCAGATTTGTGAGGAATGAGTTTCCTTTGTTTATCAGCTGTCTGGTTCATGGTGATAGTAGTCTGAATGAACAAAGACTCATCCCATAAAGGACTAATATTCTACACTTACTTTGTGTACCACTCTATCGATTTTTATTTATATATGAATATTTTGCTTCAGGCAAACTGACAACAAAGTTGCTATTCTCCCAACTCTGCTCAAATCAATTCCTGGTCTAAGATATTTCTATTGCTTCTCTTTGCTCTCTGACTCCCTGAATCCTACACTTGAGGTCCAAGTACTTCATTAGTCTCATAGCTGGCAACTTATGGCCTCTGAATACTTTTAACCCTCATTGTTGAAAACATATACTTTTGCTTCTTCACATAGACTTGTTTTGTTAACTGTTAGCAGTTGCTGGCAGACAAGTGGCAGAAAAACAAATGTGAAGAATCTGACAATGGAGGGAAAATTCTGCCTCTTAAAATAACTGTGAGTACAAACTGCAACAGATTGTGTCCTAAATGAAGTTATTACTGGAATACCCTGGCGAAGTTACAGGCTCTTCATTGGTCAATATTCTAAGACTCACTGACTGCCTAGCACATAATCAATATATAATATGTTTTTATTGATTTATATAAATTTATGTAGAGCATTCACCTAACAAAAATCATACTTATAAAACGGCAATAGGGGAAACAATGGGGCTTTCATTTGACTTTGTCCTTGAAACATCAGTCATGGGTAGAAGTGTAGAAGCTTTGAAGATAGAGCAAACACATCCAAGAGCAATGAGAGAACTTGGATTTCCTGCTATAAAATTAAGTAGCACATTGGAGACATTCTACATGAACCAGCTGAGAGTTAAAGAAAACACTTGTCTATGAAATATTTCTTTTTTGCACCAGACCTGAATGAACATCAATCACTCAGCAGGGCATTTGTGAACTAGCAAGTGTAATGTTTTACTCTGAACTCTTTGCTGAGGGTCACTGAAGAAGCAATTACTCTTGTGCCCCTTCTGTACTCAATTGCCTAGTCTCACACCCAGTGACAGATCATGAAGGTGAAGACTTTAACATGACACATGATAGCACTGGCTAAAAAACTAGGACAAAGACAACAGAGTCAGAAGACAAGACAGAACAGAACAGCCTGAGACTCAGTAGCAATATGGGCCCAGTCCATGGTTCATCATGTTCAAGATGATGGTGTCATGACAGGGGCCAATGCTGTCTCTGTAATGTGACACATCAGGTTTTTCTGAGACCCAGCAGCACTGTAGCCCTAATCTAAGGCCTATCACATCCAAGATGAAGTGGTCAGTGGGGGCTAACTCTGTCTTGGAGGCACATCAAAAGTATTTTACAAACTTTCCCACTACAAAATATCTAGTAAGGCCAAGGAGAAAGATACAAGAAACTCTTTCAAATCATTATTCAAGAGCATGGAAAGGGCCCCAAACCACAGTGATTTCTGGAAGGCAAAGTAGGTCCTAATGCTACTGGTGTCCTGTGGCCACCTGCTTATCTCAGTAGCCCAGAGACACTATATAAAACATCTTCTGGGATGGGGTATGAGGTTTTCACCCTGAAAACCAGAACCGTGTCCCTGCTTCGTGATGACATTCTCAAGAGATGTGTCACTCTGTAGGGATGAAGTGGAAGACCCCTACTGTTGTCCTGTGGAGCTTATCAGGCAGAAAGTGTGCTTTTGAGCTCTCTCCAAAGAACCTCTGACTACAGCTGACTGTGAAGCGGGCTCAGCACTGCAATCCTGCACCTATAGGTCTGGAAACAATATGGCGTGGCTCCAAAGTGCAGTGCCCAGCCACCTGCAGGAGCAGCACAGAGACTCCTGGACAGACACCCCGACTGGGCCCAGAGGACGGCTGCCAAACATGACCCAACGAGACACTGTGAGAAAGGCAAGGGAGCGGCACCCTAAGAAGGCATGGGCAGAGCCCGCGGAGCTCACTCAGAGCTTCAGACGGCACACAGGAGCAGACAAAGAGAACATGCGCACAAAAAATTAAGGACTAAAGGAGTAAGATGGAAACAAGAGGAGATGGCGTGAGCCAAAGGACCAGGGGGATCTGATAGAGGCTCCATTCTGCAGTGAGGAATATAATCCCTAAAATTTCGGCTAAAGGATGTATTGAATAATGTAATATCCCACTGGAAAGAAAATTATTAAACTAGAAGATAATCTAAGGAACTCACCAAAAAAGTAACAAAGATAAGGAGAAAATATATTTAGGGCCAAGGAGATTAGAATGAAGTGGTATAATACACCTGCAATGGGAGGTTTAAGAAGAAAAAAAAGGAGAAAAGATGATATTAGTAAAAATAATAGCTGAGAATTTTCTTTCTTTTTTTTTGTTTATTTGATCAATTTTTTTTTCTTTTTTTTTTTAGCTGAGAATTTTCTTGGACTTAAAATAGGTTTGCCATAGAGGTCCCATTCAACCTAGCCCTTTCTCTTTTGGGTATTTTTCCAGAAGAACTGAAAACATTATACCACAGTGACGTATGTGGATCCATGTTTATAGTAGCGTGATTTGTAATAGCTAAATAGTAGAAACAACACAAATGCCCATCAACTGAGGAGCGGATAAAAAAGATGTGGTATTTTTATATAATGGAATATTATTCAGCTATAAAGAAAGATAAACTTTGGGCTTTTATAGGCAAATGGATGCACTAGAGACCATACTCATAAGTGAAATAAATCAGACCCGCATGTGTAAACACCATATTGTCACCTTAGTGTAAGAACCTGAAAGAGTAAATAAAATCTACAAGGTACAATAGATATTGTGAAAGAGGAAAAAAACTGCTCAAAAAGAAAGAACAACTTGGATGAGAGAAATGAGAAAAGAAAGAAAGAAAGAAGGAAAAAATTATATATATATATATATATATATATATATAATATGATAGCTAAGAATTGTATCACTAATTTCTATTGATTTATTGAAAGGAACAGTTACTATTTAATTATTTGATCAATCTTACATGCATATACCCGGTTATCTGTGTAACTAATTTGAAGATAACAATATGTAACAACAACCATTGTTGATTTCCTATCACCTTGTTTGAAATTCTGTATTATTTTTATTGTTTTGTTTATGTCTTTGTGTTAATTTGTTTTTGTTCTTTTCTCTTTAAAATAAAAATGATAGGTTTGCCAGATAAACTCTAGGACATACAGTTAAAGTTGAATTTCAGAGAAACTACACACATAAATTTTTACTATAAGTACGTCCCATGTGTTGCACGGATCATACTTACAGTAAAATCATTTGTTGGTCATCTAAAATTGAAATTTAACTGAGCATCCTACATTTTCATTTGCTAATTCTGGCAGCCATAACTCATGTGAGACAAAAGTCATCAGTTTTAAAATGCACAACAAACCCCCAATACAGCAAAGAAAATTAAATCCACAGTTATGTACAT